AGAAACACCAGCACAGTTGGGGTTGAGCTAGGAGGGTAGGAACTCCTATCGTGGTCATTGAAAGTGACCTTTAAGAGATGATTCGATTGTGAGGACTGTGTTAGTGATGGATCTACCATTCACCCAGCAGTGGGTGTGGTCCTCATGGCTTTAAAAGGAGCAAGGGAAGAGGTTTGCTCTCTCCCACAGCGATGCTCAGTGTGTTACACCCTGCATTGCCATAGAGCCACCACCAAGGACAGGGACTTCACTTGATGTCTTCCTTGGTCTTTGGACTTCCCAGTCTCTGAAACCAGAAGAAATGAAATGGCATTACACATTCCTCGGTTTCAGGTATTTCTGTTATAAGCAGAGACGGGCTTATTCACATGACCGAATGAGAGGCAGGAAAAAGGCTAAAACTTGAGTTTTGAAAGGAAGAGACTGCCTGCTCTGGCTCGTAAGAAAACACGACAGCCACCCCCGGCCACCGAAAGCAGAGCATCCAGGACCGATCACCAGGGACCCCGAAGCCTGGGACACACACTCAATTTGTTCTCAGTCAGCAAAAGAGGTGTGGCCTCCCCAGGTGACCCCAGTAGGGTCGCTATGCGCAGAACTGCCTGCTTTTTCACACCACACTGATCTTCCCAAGTTGTGAACTGAGAAACGACTTCACGTAAGGTAGCACTAGGTTGGGGAAGGCATAGCTGTGGAGGAGGAAAAGACCAGTTATGACAGAGCAGGAAGGATTCCTTCCAGAAGTCACTTCCTAGGACGGCTCCCTCATCCGTTCAAGGTACAATGGTCTCATCACATCTCTCATCTTCATGGGCCAGAGCTCACCTCTGGGCACCCATGGCTCTGTCCACATTCCTAGGAGACCAGGCCGGTGCCTCCACCGGCAAGCTCTGAGCCCCGATGGACCACTTTGAAAAGCAGCACAAGTGGGAACCACCTGTGGCCGGACACCGGACGAGCATGAACCCGCTCTCCCTCCCTTCCACCTCTCAGCCTTCATTCCCTCGGGTCTCCCCATCTGGGTTCATCCAGCACTCATGCGGCCGTTGAGTCTTCCTGGAGCCCATCTCAGCTGAGACTGAGAGTTTCCAACCTTTCGAGTAGATCATGTGGTCTCTAAGATGACAAATCCAAGTTCACTTTTGATCAGTAAAACAAGTTAAAACAAAGTAAAAATGCTCTTACTATAGAAGTGTGTGCCTATAAGTTTTCTTCAAAGTCTTCATGCTCACTTTGTCCTGCAGGAAAAGGACACGATGGAGGGAGTAGTTTCTACAGCGCGTTCCCTTCTCAGCAGGAAGAGAGGAGGAAGTAAAAGGACCAGGGATGAGGAGGCCCAGCAGCACTGACATTTGAGACAGCCTAGGTCGGAAGTCCAGAACCCCACCAAAGTGATGGCAAAGCTGACAGATGTTTGCCAAGAACAACTTCAATGTTAGCATTTTAATACTACAAAATATCCTGGCAATGACATGTGCAACCAGACACCGAACAATCGCATAGCCTAAAGAGCCACTTAAGGTAATGATTGTGTCAAATCCCTGCCACCTGCCAGAAGCAAAGGATCTCACTGTCTAAGAGAAGAAGCCCTGATGCTTAATACAAAGTCCTTGTTTCCCACTGCAAGTGTTCCATCAGTGTTTATTCTTCAGTCATGATTCACACGGTCGATAGTTCAAATGGCAGGCATTATTTGTCCCCACAGAGGACCCTGGTTAAGTTAGGAAACACCCAGTGGATCTAAGAAGTTGCCTTGGTGGCCCTATCCAGCCTACACCCCCATCAATGTAACCACAGCTCAGGCCCCAGCACACCTGGCACTCAGGTGCACAATCCTGGGCATCAGGCTGGAGGCCAGCAGGGGACACTAGAGGCAAGTTACACTTCCTAGGCCTCGGGGACAGGCCACCCTCTCGTTCTCGAAGTGCAAGGGGTTGACTACTCTTCAGCCTCCTTTCCACAGCTGCGTCTCATGCATTTCAGTCTGATAAAGATTTTACAGGAGGAACTCTGTCAATATGTACTCAGCATCTCCTTCCCAGAGAGCTCGACTGCAACATAGAAACGAAGCCTCAGCAGCCTGAAACTGAGCGGGGTCCATTGGGGGAAGGAGTCAGACTGGCACTGTCTTCTGCCATGGCCCACCTGTGCTCACCAGCAGCTTCGGGATGGTTTGCAAGCAGAACGCTCACCCTGTCAGTAGCACAGCACATTTCATCACAGCACCTGTGCTGACCTAAGAGCCCCTGTAGGATGCCATTTCCCCAGGTGGTAGAACATGGGTCTGGGGACCAAGGAGTCGAAGTTTGTCTTTCGCAGTCAGCACCAGTGACCCTTCTGGGTATTTAAGCCTTCCATCCCCACAACGTCAAGTCCAGAAATCTAACAGTCCTAGGTGTAGATGCCTCCACAGGGGACTTGCGGTGTTGCCACGTCATTTACAGCTCCTTCTGCCAGGAGAAAAGGGAAAGTTGCTGCTACATGAAAAAGCAAAGGGTAGCATATGGATCTCATGTGAATCATGGCGCACTTCTGCACTTCCATGTATATGGCCGGGTGAAACTAGACAGGCACAGCCAAGGTGGCGCACAGAGGTCATTGGGGGATCAGGCTTCTTAGAAATGAAGGTCTTGGTCACCCAAACAAGCAAGTTAGACTTGTGCAAGTGCTGAGTGGGTGTGAGAGACCCGAGCAGTGATGCTAGAAGGAGGCAGTGAAGGTCGAGTACGTCTTGGCCTGGCAGCCCTCAGACCAGCTGCAGCAGCAGCAGCAGCGTTGCGGTTACAGCTGCCCATGACTCGCATCCCTGGTGCTTTGCCTCTCGGGTCTTCCTATGCACAAATGCTCACTGTGCAGCTGTGAGGAGCTTGGTTACGCTGGAGGAGAGTGCCAGCTGAGCCTTGGGTTCTTGGGGTGGCCCCAAGTCGAAGCCCATGGGGCTCAGCCACTTCCATCCACTGTGGGACTCCTCACATGGGTTCCATTTGCCCCAGAGCTCCTCGGTGGGCTGGCAGAAACTGTCAGGATGGCACTGTGGTCTTCCAGCTTCCCTGTGCAGAGTTCTACATATTTTGAATTCCTACGTCCCTCAGCATCTCCTTCCTAGACAGGTCCATGGTACTGCCACCACTGGACATCAGTGGCCGTGGAGTCCACGTGGCCCTGATGGTGGGCAGCAGTCTGATGTGTGAGGGCATCTGCTGTAGCCCACCTGGAACATATTGGGCTCTCCTGGTAAGAGACGGTGGTTATCATGTGGATAGGGACCCACACTAACGTAGCCTCATGTTTTTTGGTACCGAGCATGGGTCCTGTGGTGCCTGTCTGATTCCTGCCCGTTCCGTGAGTCTCAGTCATTAGGCTACTTCTCAAAGGTTGAATCCGACACTGCATCAAGCTTCCAAAGTGTTTCATGAGAGAATCAACATCCAAAATAAGAATGTGTATGTCTCCACATCAGAAAAGCTGGGCATACTTCTTCTTAAGAAGTGAGAGGTTTTAGGTACGTGAAGATATTGCCAGTCTCTCAGCATCGTGCACGTGACCACATTCTAGACTCACTAATTAAGAACATAGGGGAGAAAGGTCACGTTCCACAAGTGAATGGAGTGGCAGCAGCCACAGGTGAAGCCTTTCTAGACATTCTGTAGAGACATGACTTGGACCCTTTTTATGGCCGTCCTTGTCCATCTCTGGTCAAGAAAACCGACTTTGCCTGCCTTTGCTGACCATTTATGATGCCCTCGAGCTGTCAGCAAAACTGTAATATTTGCCAAGGTTTTAGAAATGACTAGTGTTTCTCTTGTCCCTCAGACTTCGGATGATGCCTGACCCTCACAATCGTGACTTGGTTTTCTGGCGCCAAGCTCCCAACCTTGTTTCTGGTGTCACCTGACAGACTCTTCTAATCAGAAGCAGTTGACTTTCAAATTGGACCATCAGCTTTAGCAGAAGATTAGATCAACAGCAGAGGAACTCTGAGCAGCAAGGCCACTTCTAGGACCTCCCAGGAACCTACCAATTGAAGTGCCAACGTGGACCACTGGACACGCTTAACCAGTGTTTCATGTGTATAAAGTGTCTCACTGAGAGCTTCAGACTGTGTTCAGGTGGCCACGGGTAATATAGAGCTAAGCAGCAAGCCTGCACTCAGGATTTCATAGTACAGCCCTATGCATTAAGTGCTCTCACTAAATCAGATTCAGAACCAAGTTCAGGTGTGGTGTCTGCGGCCTTACAGACAGTGATCTGTCCCACTGACCTTTCTCAGTTTGTAGAGAAGAGTAATCATTTGGCATCACAATCCTTCCTCATTATTGTATGACAATTTTACTCCGGCATTTGCCAGATAAGGTTTTAAAATTTTGGATCTCACATCACGCTTTTGATTTCATATTACATAAAAATGTCTCCGACATCTCTAATTTCCTGTCGTTTTACAACCCCCACTGACGTTTCATGTAATGTTGCTGTGCAAGGAAATGTTTTGTACTCAGGATCCCTACTAGGGGAAAGGGAATGAGTGGGGAATCAACATAAGTGGCTTTAAAGGCTTCTCCAACTGCACTGTTTTGCCTCTGGAACACCCTGAGATGTGCTGGCATCTGACTGACTGGGTTCCCTGTGCATTTGCTCTTCACTGCATCTGACTGATTCTGTTCCGTGTGCATTTGCTCTTCACTGCGTCTGACTGGGTTCTCTATGAGTTTTGTCTTCACTGCATCTGACTGACTGGGTTCTCTGTGCATTCGCTCTTCACTGCATCTGAGTGGGTTCTGTATGAGTTTACTCTTCACGACATCTGACTGATTTTGTTCCATGTGCATTTGCTCTCACGGCTTCTGACTGATTGAGTTCCGTGTGCTTTTGCACTTAAGATGTGAGCAAATGCACATGGAACTCAATCAGTCAGATGCATTAACTGATGCGATTATCCCATGATAAAAGCGGGGTCTGGAGCTCAGCAGTCCTCAGTTACTTCCCGCAGCCGAGAACAAAGAATGAAGGACGGCAAGAGCCAGCGAGACCGGGAGAGCCGGCAAAGGCACTGTCTCGGGGACTTGGTGACAGTCGCGGCGATGGTGGTGGAGAAGCAGGAGCACCTCAGTCCGCAAGCTGAGTGGCCTGCCCTCCGCCATCCAGATGTCCCCCGTGGTGGCCGCTCCCTTCCCACCGACAAGCCTGGCCGCCCTGGCCACCACAGGGTCCGAGCCCGGGTGGTTAGCCGGTCCCCAGTCAAAAAGAAAAGCAAGTCTTCAGGGAGAGGTAAGTCTCCCGGGAGTAGAAGAAGCCGGAGTCCCCACCACTCAGCAGTCACTGTGAAGCAGGAACGTGAGGACCACCCCCGAAGAGGATGGGCGGATGAGATGGGCAGCACCGGAAACCTGCAGAACAGGAGCACAGGAGAGCTAGGGACAGTGACCCGGACAGACGGCACAGCCATTCCCACCGAAGGACAGCCTCACACAAGAGGCCCGGGCGCTGGCAGGTGCAGGATCGTGACATGCAGACCCCACAGGCTCAGGACGAAGAGCGGGAGTGGTGTCACGCAAGACGCCAGGAGCATCGCCAGAAGAAGGAAGCTCGTGGGACACGTGATGACTCTCCGGAGGTGTCCCCTCCACCTGGTGGCAACAATAAAGGAAAAGAGGTGCCCGCTGAAGAAAAACCCAGGTCTGAGCTATCTGGGGCACTCCTTGAGGACACCAACACCTTCAGGGGTGTAGTCATTAAGTATAGCGAGCCCCCGGAAGCACGTATCCCCAAAAGACGGTGGGATGGGCAGCACCGGGAACCCGCAGAACAGGAGCACAGGAGAGCTAGGGACAGTGACCCGGACAGACGGCACGGCCATTCCCACCGAAGGACAGCCTCGAAAAAGAGGCCCGGGCGCGGGCAGGTGCAGGATCGTGACATGCAGACCCCACAAGCTCAGGAGGAAGAGCGGGAGTGGTGTCACGCAACACGCCAGGAGCATTGCCAGAAGAAGGAAGCTCGTGGGACACGTGATGACTCTCCGGAGGTGTCCCCTCCACCTGGTGGCAACAATAAAGAAAAAGAGGTGCCCACTGAAGAAAAACCCAGGTCTGAGCTGTCTGGGGCACTTCTTGAAGACACCAACACGTTCAGGGGTGTAGTCATTAAGTATAGCGAGCCCCCGGAAGCACGTATCCCCAAAAGACGGTGGCGGCTCTACCCCTTTAAACACGATGAGGTTCTTCCCGTCCTGTGTGTCCATCGACAAAGCGCCTACCTGCTGGGTCGACATCGCCGCGTCGCAGACATTCCACTTGACCATCCCTCCTGCTCGAAGCAGCACGCGGTCTTCCAGTGTCGCCTTGTGCATTACACCCGTGCTGATGGCACTGCTGGCTGGGGGGTGAAGCCCTACATTATTGACCTCGGCTCAGGAAACGGAACATTCTTGAACAATAAACGTATTGAGCCACAGAGGTACTATGAGCTGAAAGAAAAGGATGTGCTTAGATTTGGGTTCAGTAGCCGGGAGTATGTCTTACTCCATGAGTCATCGGACACTTCTGAGGTGGACAGAAAAGAGGAGGACGTCTGCGAGGAGCAGTAAGTGTCCGACAGCTGGAAAACTAAGGAACCACCCAAACTGCCTGACACCTTTTCCTGCCTGGAAGGCTTTGGGGTCGACCCAAAGGGCACGGTGGCGCTCTCTGTAATGCCACCTACTACCTTGTGGCATTGCCCTGTTGCGGACCCACTTATGTGATGGTTTAAGAACACTGACTTCTGTTTGGAACTTTTTTCTGTGGCACACCAGCCACACGCCTGTGGACATTTGTTTCAGAACAGTCTCAATTATAATGCACTGTGTTTTAGAAGAAGCATTGTGGCTTCAGTTGCTTCCAGAACTGCTGCCTAGGAAACTACAAACCCTTGGTTAAAGGGGAATTGTGGCTTATTCTCCTTGTACACTTAGTTTACTTATATACTTGTTAAGTTTTGTGGACCAGGTGGTTTTGTTTGGGGGGCAAATCCCTGAGAAGAGAATCTTCTTGAGCTTTGGTTATCCCCAAAACAGCCTCCAGTATATACCAAAGCTTTGACCTGGTGGAGCTCAAGAGTCATAGAAGCTGATTTCACACTTAGTTTTTTGGTGGGTGGAAATTTAATACATAACCTCATTATCGACTGTTTAACTTAAACAGATGCTTTATGGCACCTGCCAAAGCATCGGATGTATACGAAGATCATGGCTGCTCCCATAGGTGCTGATTTAATGTCACAAAGGCTGAAATGGGTTGTGGATCTATTTCCTATGAGACGACTCCTGACGTCTCTGGGGATCTTGTACATAACATTGACCATCTTATCTGCTATTAAATTTTTCATTTTTATTCAAATTTTATCTCCTGTTTTTCTTTGGGAAATACACTGG